CTGCGTGGTGGCAGGTGGCAGGTCCCGCGGGGTCGGCACTGTGGGACAGAGGGTCTGTAACTACACTGTGCTGTGCAGTGTCACATTCCTTTGGAAGGTCCTTTTGTGCTGCGTCTTTATTTCAGTTCACTCAGCTTTCAGTGTTGACGTGTCCTGCCATGCAAGCACTGTTTGATACGCCAGTTGTGTTATTTAAGAATAAAAATGCATGGAAGGATGAGTTTCGTTTATAAAATTCTTTCCCCTTGGAAAGCGTTGGTGCTTCAAACTGCTGCCTGGAGCGTGGGAATGACCTGGGGGTTGGTTGGTGGCTGCAGATGCCCTCAGACACTGCAGACCACTGCCCACCAGAAGCTGCTACTTCACTTGCCCTGCCCTGCCCGAGGCCACGCTGGTAACGGTGCCCAGCTCCAGCAGCAGAGCCAACTCCTTCCCACCTGTCCTCCCGCTTCCCTGAGCCCATCGTGCCTCCAGTGCCCTGCCAGGGTTTTATGGGGCTGCGCTCTGAGCACAAGAGAACTGATGTGTGTGGGTTTGAACAGAAATGTGGGGTTTTATTTGTGTTTCAGATCCTTTCACTAACTGTTGAGGGTGTGACGTGGGGACAGGAGCACGTGTGGCTGATGCTGGTTGTGAAGTGGGGGGCGTGTCTTGCTGCACCACAGCTTCGGTGTGAAACACTGTCCTCAGACCCCCAGAAAGTGTGAGCCATTCCCTGACCCTCAGGGGAGTGAGGACAAGCACATTAAATGCCAGTGTCCCAGGGAACTCCCAGCCCCAGAGACACCTCCATGTTGTGGGGTGTCCTGATGTGAGGGTGTTGAGGATGTGGATCTGTCCCTCACCTCTGTGAGACACCAACTGTTGCTGTGGATCCCAAGCCCTGAGTACTGATTTCTTTCTGACACTGAGTTTCACAGACCTTTGTACTGTACAGAAGACATTGACTCTGACAAAACATCTCCTGGTAGCCAGGGTTTCCCCCCCAGCCTCTGCTCTCTGACCTGTCCCTGTCTTCACCGCATCCACCAGCTCCTCCTGGTACCACCATCTCTCCTCTGCTGCCCACAGGGTCTGTTCCACGCAGAGCTGCCGCAGAACCAGCTCTGCAGTTCAGAGGGGCTCAGCGGAGGCCTGAGGAGCACCAGGAAGAAGTTTGTGGGTCTGGTCTGCCCTGTGAGGTGCTCGGATGCCAGGGAAACAAACGGCTGCTCCTGTTCCCTCTAGGAGGTGGATGGGAACTGTGAGGAAGCTCCCCATAGGTGACAACGATTGTCCCCTCGTGCTGCTGCTGGCTCGTCCTGGCTGTCACGGGATGGCAGTGGGAGAACCAGCAGCAGCCTGGTCCATAAAGTGACACGGCTTGAGCCCAGACTGGGCCACGCTGGGGCTCAGCCCCTGATGTGTGGTGTCACCTGCTCCCCACCGTCCTCCTTTTGGGTGGCACCTGCCTCCAGCCCTGGCTCCGTGTCCCCAGTGTCCCCAGACGACCCGTCCTGGGCTGGCACCGGGGTGCGGTGCTGGCAGCTCGGGATGGG